TGTCCAACGTTTAAGATATATGAATGTGGTCCTAAATGTGAATTTTTAAGTCTTTCTCTCTTTTCTCCTCCCTCTTTGTTCTTTGTATGTGAAAAAAATCATAATACTATACTTAGTATATATTTACTTTATTTCCTATATATTTATATATATTTATATATAAGTGATAGGCTGTTATATGCTGTAGGATATATTACTATATGCTTTAGGAAAATTACTACATAAACTTGATAGAGCAGTGAAGTCACAGTAGATGGTAGAAGGCCCCGAAGGAGTCAAGGACAGCTTTAGAAAATTGCACAGGACTGATGAAAATGCTGACCTGCAAATGTACTCACTCACTTGCACATACGTTTATTGAGCACCTACAGGAGGTGTTTTGACTGGTCTTACGAGGTTTAGAAACCATTTGCAAAACTGCCCTGTTAGGATACCAAATCAAATTGTTGACTATTAACTGGATTTTTATTTTAAAGGCATATGGCTATGGGTTCAAAAAAGGATATAGAGAAATAAATTCAGACATAGCAGGATCTATGAGGAAATTAATTCTGAATTTAGTCATTTCCATTGTGGTTACTCAGCAATGAAATGACATGACCTACTAATCATATCAATATTTACACTTGATGCAAGAAAGAAAAGTTGGGCACTGATGGCTGGATTTTGATCCCATTTATGATATTAATTAGAAATAAACCTTTGAAAGGAGTGACTTGTGTTAGAATGTATGGTTATTAGTATCTTTGCCAATCTTCATTAGCCATATTTTTAAATTCAGTGTTCGATGACACTGTCAGTGGTCACTTCCCTGGCCTTGCAATCTATCATCATGTCACCAAAAAGGAGGATTTAAAACCCAGAAGATCAAAACCTCAGGCTGGCTCTGTCACTTACCAGATTTGTGACCTTGGGTGAATGTCTTAACCACTCTGACCTCAGTTTCTCATTCTACAAAATGGGACTTGTGGGGTGTTCTTCAAGGCCTCAGTGTCAGAATTAAATGAGATGTTCAGAAAAAAATGTAGAAGGATTTTTCTAAATTAAAAGTTATAAATCCAAACCATAAATTTCAGCTGGATCCTAATTTGGAGGGGGGTTGGGGCAGTTGGTCTATCCTGAAAATTTTAATATAAACGGAATATTAGGTTATATAAAGAACAAATCCTTATAAATGTTCTTAGCTGTGATGAAGATGTTGGGATTACAAGAATAACGTCCTGATTGTCAGAAGAGGCTCATAGAGCGTTTAGAAGTGTCACAAGGCAACCTAATTTCAAAAGGGGAGGGAAGAAAATGGGAAGGGAGGAGGAAAGTCCACATGCAGACACAGAGGAAGTGGGAGGGACAGAAAATTTGGGGCAAAGGCAACTTTGGCAAAATGTTCATTGTTGAATCTGGGTGGAAGGCATGTGAGGTTCATGTTACTATTTGTCTAGTTTTTTACATGTCTGAAATCTGTTCTAAATTAAAAAATTGAGTGGAAAGACAAGAGTTAAATGAGAAAATGTTATTAAAGATGTGGCTCCAGCTGGATGCAGCAAATACTAGCAGATATTCTGACCTCCCATTTAGGATGATCATTATTGTGTTACACTCACTGATGTGTGGTGTGAGCAGAATATTTGTTTAAAAAAGAATGGGAGGCCAAGGGGCGTGGATCACGAGGTCAAGAGATCAAGACCATCCTGGTCAACATGGTGAAACCCCGTCTCTACTAAAAATACAAAAAATTAGCTGGGCACGGTGGCACGTGCCTGTAATCCCAGCTACTCAGGAGGCTGAGGCAGGAGAATTTCGTGAACCCAGGAGGCAGAGGTTGTGGTGAGCCGAGATCGCGCCATTGCACTCCAGCCTGGGTAACAAGAGCGAAACTCCGTCTCAAAATAAATAAATAAATAAAAAAGAAATGAGCATAAAGCGTTGATGCACTCTGAGAAGGATGTCTCAGTCTCAGAGTCTATCAGGGCCAAGAGCTGAGGGGAGGTGAAGTTCTGCTTCTTTGTGAACACCAGGCACTCACAGCTTAGAGGCTGAGGGCACTCCCTCTTGAAACTTAACCACCTGGATTCAAACCTGCAATGGGAGGAGCAAGGTCACTTCAGATGACTTATTTAACTAGTGCCTCAATTACCCCAACGGTATGATGCTGAATAAAAATACCATTGTTCCTGTCTCATGGTATTATTGACAAGATCAAATACGATTATGAATTGAAGTGGTGTCTTGCACACAGCAAGTACCCAGATGCTAGCTCTTATAATTTGTATTATGTAAACAGGACCCTGCTATTCCAGTGTACCATGCTTTGAGAAGTCCCACCAACATTTAGGCAGCCTTGCTGTCTCACCTGTTAAACCAAATCTCAGCCATTTTACTTTAAAGTTTACTAGAAACTTTAATTTTTGTTTGTCTCTATAATTTTCACTAAAAAAAAAAAATAAAGAAGAAAAACAATTTACCTCTTCTTGCTTTGGCCGTCTTTAAAGAGAATTATGACAAAAGCAATGAGGTTTCCACATGACAAGTGTCTATGTCGTTCCCAAACATCAATAAGATTTCTTAACTTAACATAGATTTAAATATTTAAATTGTTATAATAGATTAGCATGGTATATATGATACGATCTGAAGAGAAACCAGAATATGCATGGTATATATTATAAAAGCTATAAAATTAATTAGTATGAAATGTGTCCAGAATCTCTTTGGAGCCCATGACATTTGCATTCCACATGCCCTCCAATAAATTAAAAACAGGATTGCTAGTTTCAGTGTTCCAGATTCTCAGAGAAACAGCACTAGCGCTTTAGGCCTTTATGGGCCTCCATCTACACGCCAACTTTTGGCTTGGGCATTCTCTGAATGTTTCCACTCCTATGTTATCAACTTGGAGATAACCAAAGGCTACAATACTTGCCTTTACTATAAGATGATTAGCATGATAATAATTATGCATTAATTTATCTATCTCATTAAGTAATACACCACTAAAATTTTAAAACCCAAATGGTGACAAATTCTCTTTTGACATTTCTGAGATAGCCCGATCATAGCCACATGCCTTATTTACAGAGCACCTGACAAGCTTCCAAAGGCTTGTTTGGAACAAGCCTACACAGACCACTGTATTCGATCTTCACAGCAATCCCCTAAAGTTGTCTGGTCAGCTCTTGGTCCTAATATATAGGTAAGGGAATGAGCAGCCACTGGCGAAATGAAATCTACTCAAAGTTGTACAGAAATCCTAGGAGAGTAAGCCTTACACAACCACTCTGGCCATCTGCCCACATCCCTTTTCCTGGCTTCTATTATCTCATTTGTGGGGGGCTACCTGTGATGTCAGTTTCATATTGCCTTTCCCGAGAGGTTCCACACAATCTCGCTTTCAGGTGACCAACCTCCTCTGGACCCTGAGCCATCTACCAGGCAGTATCTACAGCTAATCACTCAGAACCCAAAACCCCAAAACATCAGGACAAGAGGAGAGCAGTAGTCCTGGCTACCTATGACCACTGAAATAAATGCAAGATACAAAGACACAGAGTTTATGAACAACGGAATGTGTCAAGTAAACTGAGCATGTGACTTCCTTTCATACTGAAGTCTATGAAAAGGAATTCTACTTCTGATCCTTTCTGACGGAGAGAAGTAACTTACCCTCTCCTTCATTTCAGTTTCCTCACCTATGGAGTGTTAGTACTGCCACAGCCCTTCAAGCTTACGCTGGGCATAAAACAAGAAAATTCATGGGAAGTGTCTATCAGTACCTGGCCCTTAGTATGGCCTTGATAAATATTTACTAAGCTGGAATAAGTCTTATGGATGAAGAAATGCATTAATTTAATTAAAAAAAAACCTTTTTTTTTAGGTAGAGTCTCACTTTGTCCCCCAGGCTGGAGTCCAGTGGCGCCATCTCTGCTCACTGCAATCTCTGCCTCCCAGGTTCAAGGGATTCTCCTGCCTCAGCTTCCCATGTAGCTGGAATAACAAGCGCTTGCCACCACACCTGGCTGATTTTTGTCTTTTTAGTAGAGGCGGGGTTTCACGACGTTGGCCAAGCCAGTCTCGAACTCCTGACCTCAGGAGATCCATCCACCTTGGCCTCCCACAGTGCTGGGATTATAGGCATGAACCACCACACCTGGCCAGAAATGCATCAATTTTAAATGTGATGTCCAACAGACAGTAAAAAATACTCTCTGTTGAATATCCCTTATCTGAAATGCTTGGAAGCAAAAGTATTTTGGATCTCAGGTTTTTTCAGATTTGGGAATTTTCCATTATACTTACAGGTTAAGCATGCTTAATCCATAAATCTAATATCTGAAATGCTCCAACGAGCATCTCCTTTGCGTGTCATGTTAATGCTCAAAAACTTTCATATTTTGGAGCATTCAGATTTTGGGTTTTTGGATTAGGGATAATTATTCAACCTGCATATAACTCAATAACAAATTAGATACCTTGATGTTAAATATACAACACCTTACATATTGTAGTTTACTATCTAAAAAGACATTTAAAAATCATTTTACTAAAATTATCTCATCCTAAATTATAGCTGAATAAACCTCACAAAATATCTAAAGTATCAGCAGCTTGGGCAGTTGGATAGAATATGTGTGTTTAATTCAGCAGAGAAACTGAACTTTTAAATTTTATGAAGCAACAAGAACATGCTTATGTATGTTACCAGGAGAAGGAAGAAGAGGCAGGTAACTTTCTGAAGAAGAAAATGTGAGAAGGCAGACTGGTGAAGGTATGGGTGGGGAAGTGGGCAGTTAAAAATCTGACCCATCATATAAAGATTCTAGAAAATACAGTGTAATACACAGTCACTCAACACACTCTTAAAGGTCATAGCACTGAAACTCAATAGCTCTCTACAAAGTCAACATCCATTTTGAGTACTGGGATATCTCTTCTCTCCAAGAAAATGTAAGACCCTCCTAACTCCTTCTCTTATGCAGGAACTAAATTGTGAACCACACACTTACCAGTTGATTCTGGTAGGCTGTGACTGCCGTAAAAACTGTTTCTGGAAAGATAAAAGTTCTAAATTCTTCCGACTTCAGGTTAAGCAATGAGGCTGTGTGGTCTTTCTTCTTAATGATGTGTACCCTTGGCTGGTACTTATGCATTGAGTTCAAAATTATCTGCAACAGAAAGATAGGAAGTACTGAACTTTACGTACTTTTACACTGCTAAACCGGCCAAATTACAGGGAGACCAGAAAGAATCAAAGCATCTGCAATTTCAAAGTCAATTTTAAGATACAGATCTACCCTCTCCAGCCTCGAGGCAAATCATTTTCACAAGATATTGCAGAGTCATTGTTGTGAATCACATTTTGCCAAAACAACTGCAAATGACACAGGTTGTTTCAAGTGTCCTTTCTAAAATGATGGGGGAGGGGACATCTGAAGGATAAGTTTTTATTTATTTTTTAAATCAAGCCCTTTAAATACTTATAGTTTGCTAGTCTAGTTAGACCAAAGGACACATCTGAATTTTCTAAAATAAGAAATCATACATTCTAGGAGGCCAGATTATTATTTATGGAGAAAAATATAAAAGAGTTTAGAAAAGTAGTGTGGTGTTAGGCAAACTTGGGTTAAAATTTTGAATCTGTCAGTTCTAGTCCTTTAATCCTGGGCCATGTGATTTCGTCTCTCCAATTCCTGGTTTTCTCATATGCAAAAATGGTACTAACCTAATAAGGCTGGCACAGAGAAAACAGGAAGTGCTCAGTAAATCTCAACTGTATTATTAGTAGTAATAGAAGGAGTATTTATGACAGCTTCCTTGATTTCCAACTTCCAGTTATTGGACCAAATCTGAATCATGATAGCCATCTTCCATTCTGTAGCTAGTAAAAAAAAGTTGCCAAGTACTTCAAAACCATAAACACACCCTTGTTAACAAGGCAGCCAAGGATGGCATTTTTCACATATCTTTATATATATATATAATTGCGTTTTAGGTTTTGGGGTACATGTGAAGAACATGCAAGATTGTTGCATAGGTACATACATGGCAATGTGGTTTGCTGCCCTCCTCCCCATCACCTATATCTGGCATTTCTCCCCATGTTATCCCTCCCCAACTCCCCACCCCCCACTGTCCCTCCCCTAGTATCTGGGCAATAAAATTCAATTTCCAATGTAAAAGGTTTTCCACATCTCCCCTCCTGCCATTCAGATAGCCATCTAAGCCTGCAAAATGTGGGGGTATGTCTTTCTGGGGATAAAAGGGGTCACACTGTGTACCCTCCTCTCCAAGGAGCTGGTAGAGAGTGTGACTCTCAGGAGACATCCAATAAACAGCGTGGCAGGACCGATGGCACTCTATGCTGGTTGCTGCGGCTATTAATGCAGCTGACGGCTCCCTGGCTTTCTTGGCTAACCTGGGTGTGGGGCATGGGTGTTTCTGCCGATTGACTTCAGCAGAATTAAACACTAGTCACCGTGGGATAACTGGTATATAATCAGTCTCCCTCTGTGCTGAGATGCAAGCTGACCTGAACTTACGGGGTATTAACTGGGATTGAATTTTGAACATGCTGTCTAACTGAAATAAATGGTGTCTTTAAATAAATCAAAATAATATTTTAAAATGATAATATGATCTCTTTGTACAATGCATTTATTCCAAGGATTTCAAGCTATTGATACTCAGTCATAAAACTTGAATAAAGTTGAAGCAGTAAAAGCAAACATTTTCCTCCTGTCACTGATATAAGAAAAAAGTAACATTCATCATATATTCTACTGAGAAGACAAGAAGAATTTTCAAATACTCATCCACCCATATATACACATACCACAATGGAACAAGAAGTAAGCTTTAAATAAGCTGCTTCTTTCCCCACTTCCACCACCTGAAGGTTAATTTCCTTTGGGAAAGGTTACTGGACAGACTCAGACCCCAGACTCAGCCACTAAGACCCCAGGGCTCCCCGACTCTGCTCAAGCTCTCCTGCGACTTGAGGGCTAAAGAACACTAACGGAAATGTGGGCCCTGCCTCACTCAAGAAATAATTCTTGAGAATAACAAAGTTTCCTTTTCTGAAACTAAAAATGGGTCTGTAAGAGAGCCTTCTTCAGAATCTATGCAAAGAAGTTAGCTAAACAACACAGGTTCTAAAATCTTTCCTTGTATTAGCAGTTTTCAGAACACACTAATTCTGTTGACAAAGGGTTATATTAAATATCATTTTTTTTTTTTTTTGAGACAAGGTCTTGCTCTGTCGCCCAGGCTGAACTGCAGCCTTCACCTCCCAGGCTCAAGTGATCCTCCCACCTCAGCCTCCGGAGTAGCTGGGACTCTAAGTGCAGGCTACCATATCCAGCTAATTTTTTGTTTTATTTTTTTCATAGAGATGAGGTCTCCCTACGTTGCTCTGGCTGGTTTCAAACTCCTGGGTTCAAACAATCTCCCCACCTCGGCCTCTCAAAGTGCTGGAATTACAGATGTGAGCCACCATGCCTGGCCAATATAAAAGTTTTAAAGCTAAAATGCATATAAGCAACTGTCTAAGACTAATCAGTTTTTTAAGGTATAATCTTGGTATAATCAGGCTAGACCCTAGAACATCTGAAATCGAGTTTAGAGCTATTACTACCCAATGAAGCTGAGGCTAAACAAAAAGCATTTCAATTATGGGCAACTAATCTCACAATGAATGAACTCTCAAGTCTTCGTGGAAAGAGCCATATAATTCCTCTAAAAGCCTCATATATAAAAAATTCCAGAATCATAAAAGAATTTCATTTTTCCCTGCAAAAATTTTCATTAAAGCTCAATAAATTTTAATGTAAATGACATTAAGAATGATCATTGACATACAAAAAAAATCATTCCATACTTCATCAATTTTAACCTGAATAAAATTTGTCAGTAGAAGCATGTTTAAAAAAAAGAAAGAAAAATTATGCCAATAACCTTAAAGATCAATTGTCTTTCTTTTTCAATACACAAAAAACAGAAGCACATTAAGGTACTTCCAATATCCCAACAGCACCACACCAGAGTCATGAGCTAAGCCGCCACGCTGACTTCCTTGTAATAAACAGGGTCTCCTACAGGCAGAGGGATACTGCTAGCACCTGAAGCCATTTATTTGGTTCCAGGTTTAATCTCACCATTTGAAACCAAACCCAGAACTTTCTTATTATCTATTTATGACCATCTTTGTTGAGAAAGGTCTTCAAACAGTTTCTCTAAGTTACACAGATTTGATCCTCACACATTGTATATATGTATCAAAACATCACATGAACCCCGAAAATATGTACAGTTACTAAGTATCAATTAAAATTATTAAAAGAAGGCAAAAAGTTATGGAAGTCTCTCTGAAGTTTTCTTAGCATAAAATCTAACACAAAATTTTTATGTGAATCTTTATTTAGGAGCACGAAGTAACATCCCAGATAGTACCTTAAAAAGTCATTTTATCAAATATGTAAGGACCTGTATCAATGACTATTTGTTCTACTAAGCTACTGATAAGAACACAGAGTTAATTTCCCTTTTTTCCACATTTTAACAAACTTTATACTGACAAAAAAACCTAATTTTTGTTTTTAATTATGGGGCTTCTCTATGCTTTAATATTCATGAAACTCTCCAAAAGAATTTTTTAAAAAGGTTACATAATGAGGAAACAGCCTTTTCCCAAACCGATTTGGACATAAACCCCTTTGATTCTATTTCATCTCGCATACATGTATTCTACAGAACACACTTTGGGGAACCCCCATCAGAGGTCCTAGCCCTATCATCTTTAGGTTTTACTATCTGATATGCTGCTGACAGAAATTAGATGCTGAACCCAAGAACAGGCTGTAGTAGCCCCCAAAATGTATATTCCCTTAGTTTAGTTGGCTTGAGTGGTACAGCAATTTCAGAAGCCTTGGGAATTCCACGGGACAGAAGGTCCCTGACCTTCTTGTATAGAAATGGCACACAGCATCCCTGTAAATGACCTATTAACAAAATCAGTCAAGGTCCCCTGAAAAACAAGAAATGTTCCCATAAAATGACTCAGAGATAGAAGGTGGGAAGGAGAGAGGGAAAGCAAGAAGGGACTCAGGGAGAGGCTGTTTTGTGCGACTTGTCCATTCCCTCTCAGGGAACCTGCACAGTTCATGGCACAGTACTTACGTGGCCATGCTGATCCAGTTCATTGTTGGTGAGTTTCACCTTTTCAAAAGACACCATTTGTTTGAGTAGTTGCTCACCCGTAAAAGGAGAATCTGGGTGCACATAGAGCCTAAGAAAGACAGGAGAAAACTTTATGAAGACTTTCTAAAAAAATCTGTCTCTGTGGGTTATAAAATGTTCTGATTCTAAAGGAACACACAAACCATATGTAAGTGGTAAATGTTACTGCCCAATATACCTCAAATTTATTAATATTTCAATGTCAAAACAACTCCAAAATGTATAATGTTTTTCTTCATGTTTCAATGATCTAAAAGAGTTAATACCTAACAAATGTTCTGTTAAAGACTGATCAAGACATTTTTTAAAGGTTTTTCTTTTCATCTATCTAGTAAACTACTGGTCTGCTTCTATCAACTGCAAAATCTTGTTGAAGGTGCTTTCAAAAGAAAAACTAGGTTATACTAACTGTGTAAGAAGTTCCTATTACAAGCATCTCCAAAATAACAATGAAAACATAAATAACTTAAAAGAGAAAATAATTTTACAGCATCAATTTATGTAAACTTAAAGTTTTAAAATTTAAAGTCTGTATTCTTTGTAAATGCAAGATGGAGTCATTTTAATATAGGGACATGAAGAACTTCCAGTAGTCCAGAGATCAGGTGGGAGTCTGCTGTTCTTCCAGTTACGTTAAACACTACTGCTGTCAACATTGTCTGTTTATGTGCTCACTAAAAGTTAAAACAAGCTAGACACACTTCAAATTATTTATTTTTTTGTAAACAGCATAAGCCAAAAAAAAGTACTCACTTTGATGAGAAAAATTTGTTTATCATTTATTGATCAGTTGCTACATGCAGGGCAATCTTTTACTCCCTCACAGTTAAATGCAGGTCATTTTTTCTACCTGTGACAGTCACCTTAAGTGCAGCTCTTTGTAAGTCCCCATCCTAGTATCTTCTTGACATAAATCTTTCTGCAGTCAGATAGAGACCACAGCACTAATGAGGGGGAATGGAAATCCTTGATTTAATAGGACAGATTCCTCTATCCATGTAAAAGCTTATTTATACAAAAGTTTTATACAGGATCCTTATAACTATAACTAAACATAAATATTTTTATTAGGGCAAAAGCAAGGGATAAGAAGTCATAAAATCTTCCTTGCAATACTCACGTAAAGAACAAGAAATCTGTGCCATGGTTTGTCACACAGAGGACTAAGAACAGAAGAATTCTGTATCCATGCTGAAACTCACAAAGCCTACCAGGAGCAAGGCACAAAAAAGGCTGACAGCACCAAAGATTCTTACCAGAGCTACAGAGAAGCTCTAAAGGCTTCAGGCATTTGCCTGCCTGTTAATTCCACTGTTTTTGGGAGGAGTGCTCACAGTTGCCTTTCAGTTATGTTTTGAGAGCACAGCCACTTTCCAAGCACCAGGCTTCCAAGACTGTAGCTTTCTGTATGGGTGCAGTCGTTTTACTGCTCAGAATCACATTTCTCCCTCTAAAAAGGTCCAAAAGTACTTAAAGTTCTGAAAGTTGATGAAATGTTTCCTCTTTAAGGATCACATTCTCCACATGTAATAGCTAATATTAATGTATTTAAATATTAATTACGTACTTTAAAGAAAAGGAAATGCCCTATATGAAAATGTAACATTATTTTAGATCATAAATAATGTCTTGCCTATTACTATTATCAAGCAATACTGTCAAGCATTGTTTCTTCTGATTAGAAATGACTGACCAATGACCTTCAGTCTGAAATAAAATGCTTCAAAGTCCTTAAACCATGGGAAATGTTTGCCATCAGTATAAAATTATCACCTCCTAAGTTCTTCGCTTTTCTCTTACAGAGACAGATAATATAGCAAACTATTTTTTTAACAATAATAATAAAGAATAGTTGCTATCACCTAGAATATTTTTATCCCATCTATAGCTAAACATTTGTATTTCATATCAATCTAAAAAAGCTGAACTAGGATGAATGAAAAAAATATACAGGAAGCCCCTCCTCTCAAGTCCCCCGGAGACTTAAAATTCCAGCAATAGCTTAAACATGCTTCAGTTAAGATAGTGTATTGGTATACACTTTTCTTCTCCAACCAGAACACATTAGTAACATAAACAAGGCATGTCATATTTCCAAAGTCCTGCTGGCCTGCATCAGCTCCCCATACCTTCAGATAGGAAGAAAATGTATGTTTAATAAGAGTGATTAACTTCTTAGAGGAAAGACTGGAGGGAAAACAAGAAAAAGAGGGTTTGCTTGTAGTAAATGGTTAGGAATCTGCTAAAATACTCTCTCTCTCTCTGATTTAAAACAATATTGAAACATTTGGAAGGAAGCTCAAGAATAATAGTAAACTATTTAATAGTAAATAGACGAGAATGCTACTTTTACTAATTTTAATATCTCTTATAAACGGTGACTCTTGTTCAACTAAAAAAAATGAGCAGCAATTGTTTTTTAGATTTTCCTAGTCTTGACTGTTATTTAATATACTGATATGGAAGGGCTGGGAAGACGACCTTTTCAGTCTCTTCCTAGAATGGAAAACTCTGAGAGATTGCTTTTAATCTCTTTCCTAGTGCACTTAGCATATGATAAGCTCAATAATATAATAAACTACTAATTAGGCTGAATATTTGATCTGAACCGTATGTGTCATTGCCTGTTGATGCTTTGCCTTCACTGTGACTCAGACTAGACACACGGTGCCAGCCGTAACTGAATAGTTCTTAAACCTGGACATTTAAATAAACTCTTCACTCTGATATGAACTTTCAATCAATTACAAAAAATGAGTCATTTAACAACTGAAAAGGTATAAGGCTGAGTTTTGGAACCCAAAACATAAAGTCAGCTAATATGCTTCGTTTTGTATTAAAATAGGCAGTTAGATTCCTGTAACTTCATCTATCATTCTTCATATAAGTAAATGCATGTTTTTCCTGTTAGAATACTCATTTGACTGAAACAATAATAATAAATGCTTGCGTGTGCCTTTTGAAGGATGGCACTCCTGGAAACACTGTATTAGCAATAGTAAATACAACGATCCCTAATGTATTAACTGAAGAATGTTTCATGTAAAAGAACCTGTTGTTGAATTACATTCATCCACTAAAATTACAGAGGGAGAAAATAAGAGTTGGCTTTTATTTTTACTTTAAAATCTCTGAACCCTTTATTGGTCAAAAACAACTGAATTTTACCTAAATGGTGTTTATGATGTGGAGTTATAACCACATGATTAACAAACACCATAAGCAACCACTGTACTAAAATACACTCTTCTAAAAAGGATTTTAGGACAACCATTTCATCAGGAGGCTTATTCAGTCTCGTTTTAAGCAGCAACTAGAGAGGATGTCTATATTTATATTTATACAAAATGGGTCCACAATGAATGTTCAAGCTGGAATTTAAGAAAAACTTTGAAATGAATTGCTGCCTAACAAAACAAACTCAACGACAGTGTTTTCTCTATGCACAAACTACCTTCCTCAGAGCCTAGCCCATATTCTGTATGGTCAATCCCGCAGTGTCCAGGCTGGGAACGCTCTCCTGCCAGAGCCCGCTGCTTTAAATACCCACTTGCTCAAAATTCACACAAGCCAGAAACACTCTGACAGAAGCACTAACAGTTTTCTCAGCAAAAAATCCAGAGGCACAAACCTGGCTGGCAACGGCGGGTCGGCCTTGCCAGCCACCAGCCAGGAGGACCGGTGGTAGGCGTAGCGGTACCTCTTGTTGTCCACAGGGACGATGTCCATCAAGACTATGTACTTGGCCTCAGGATCCACCCCGGAAAAGGACACCCGGATGGTGGGAAACATCCTCCTGACAGAGAGAGACAGAAAATGGACCCTGTTTACGCTAACAAACTGGCCCTAATTGGGAAGAGAGAAAGGAAGAGCGGGAAGGGGGGAGGGAGGGAAAGGGCCTGACTCTTGACTCCGGTCCATAAAACCCCTTTTTGCTTTGTTTAAAGCCTCAGAGAAGTGAATACAGAGACCCGGGTTTTCTTCCAAGCTTAGATAATCTCAAGTGTCACCTTTAAGTCAGTGTTAATTGCTAGGTGAGAAGGTGTGGGTGGGGGTGGGGGTATTTAACACTAGAAATTCCGTGATTAAGGGGAAACCCTATGCGTTTTTTTTGTTTTTGTTGTTTTTTTTTGTTTTTCTTTTTGAGACGGAGTTTCTCTCTTGTTACCCAGGCTGGAGTGCAATGGCACCATCTCGGCTCACCGCAACCTCCGCCTCCTGGGATCAGGCAATTCTCCTGCCTCAGCCTCCCGAGTAGCTGGGATTACAGGCACGCGCCACCATGCCCAGCTAATTTTTTGTATTTTTAGTAGAGACGGGGTTTCACCATGTTGACCAGGATGGTCTCGATCTGTTGACCTCGTGATCCACCCGCCTCGGCCTCCCAAAGTGCTGGGATTACAGGCTTGAGCCACCGCGCCCAGCCAACCCTATGCGTTTTAATGATCAATCGCACCTTAATCCTCAAAGGACCCAAAGTCCCTGGAGCTGACCCAGTCACACAACCCACCGGCATCCGAGCCAGAAAACTCTGCTCTTGCCAAAGAAAAGCCAAGGGCAGAAGTTTCCAGGAAGGATTTCTTAGAGACCCTGCAGGTATTTTCTGCAGTCCCCAGAGCTACAGCCACCAAGTTTTGCCGGCCTCTGCCCCATCCCAACCTCCCCCAGCCCTGCGGCTTCCTGCCTGGCCAGAGCCCACCCAGCTCTGGCGCCAAGAGGCCCCGAGCAGTGCTCCTTCGTACAGGGATTTTTATCGTTTCAAATTTCATTCTTCCTCCCAGATTTTAATTTTAGTTTTTAACTGGAGTTGGCAGCTTTTGCAAATTGAGCCTGATAAAAGGGAACCTACTCACCCACCTAGAAGCACCCAGCAGCTCGCCAGGCACCCCTGGCACAAATTCCTCCTCCTTCCAGATCCCGACCCCCTAGCCGCCAAAACCTTCTCCAGCTCCAGGGAGAGCAGACCACACCCTTCGGGGTTAGTGTGCCTCCCTGGTCCCTGTGCCCTTCTCAACAATCCAGAGAACGCAAATGACGAAGTCCTGTAGCTAGCTGGCAGGAAGGAAGCTGGTGGAAAGAAGCTGCCCTGGAGCAAAGCTAGCTCTCCACTCCGTGACCAGCCAGCTCTCATCCAGTTCCAGGAAGCGCCCTCAGCTACTCAGGGAGTGCCCTGACTTTCCACACCCCCAGACCCCAAGGCCCAACTACCTGCCCGACTTGGTGATGATCATCTCGGTGCCCAGCTCATGGAATTTGTCCCAAAGCTCCTTGGTCTCCAGGCTGCAGGCGATTTTGGCCATTTCCTCACTGGGGATGATGGGGGTGGTGGGAATCAGCGGCTCAGTGCACAGAGAAGAGGAGGATGGGCTGCTGCCACCGCCTCCACCAAACTCCCCGTGAGCATCCAGGCTGGTCAGCTCACCCAGGGGCTGGGCACAGGACGACTTCTCCACAAATTGCTCTGGAGGCAAAGAGAATGGTGAATGACAGCTGACACTGTCAAACAAGGAAAGATCTGGAAAGAACAGCATAACCACAATGGTCACTTGGATTTTACTCAGGAAAAGTTAAGGTCAGAAACTCCAGGCGGGGCTGTAGGGAGGACCCATCACTGTGTAAAATTACCTGGGATTCCCATAGGGTGACATGCCCAGTGTTTCCTGAACAAACTATTGAGTTCTAGAATGATGGCTTGTCACCACCAGTACTGCAGCCCACTCTGGGAAATAAAAATGTGAGCATGGAAGAAGGGAAAGATGATGATCATGAGGGATGAATAGCAAATATTTCTATTGTCACCCTCCCAAATTCTACACTTCACAGCTCATGAAACCGATACCAGTCCTGCCTCTTTGACAACCAGGAGGGATTCTCTCCATGGAGACCAAGACAGCAAAGAGATCAGCACCTTCCTCACTTGGAGAGGAACTTTCTCTTCCTTCCTGGAGTCCTCTCTCCATAAGAGAAAAGGAAAGGAAGATAGGAAGGTAAAAGAAAAATGGGGAACATGGTTTACAAAAAATCAGTCACTTCACCTCTGTGCCTGACTTTCAGTTTTCTAGGCTTTATGATGAGAGCTAGAACATTTTTATACTATTCCTCCCAGCCCAAGATCTTTTGAAAGATGCTACCAGACACCTTGCTAAATCACAAGATTTAGCAAGGCCATTTTCTGTGGGCCATTTTTCAGAATAGACGTGGAACAATTACTTGAGGGGTGATGTATAAAATTTTTCTTTCTCCCAAAAAAGGTCCTAGAAGTGAGGAAAACAACCTCCAACCCAGGCAGTGTATTAAAGTGGGAAGAATGCTCTGCCATCCACCACCAGGTTGGAATACTGCTGCCTACGAACCAAACATTCTCCCCCACAGCTGATAAGGGCCTCGGACTACACCAGCCACTTTGATGGAATACAGGGAGACTTTTGTAATTGTCCCAATTATCTTCCATCTTAAAAAAGAAACTACTTGAATTTGCAATGTGAAGCTGATCTCTTACGTGCCCTCAAGAAATCAAAGCCAGTTCTAAATGTATGTGTGAGCATGTATATAATGCATGTGGGCATATGGGACATACACAGATCATAAGGTGTTTTATTTCCTACACGTCTGTGCATGAAGAAAACAGGAGACCGAATGTTTTTACTTTTACTTCTCAGGCAATGATAATCCAACCCATGAGAACGTTTTAACTTAAGAATAATCAAATTAACCGCCATCCTGATTTTTTTTCAGATTAAAGAAAGGAAACCATGCCATAACAAAATCTTCCTTTCTACTAATATTTTCAGAAACACATTCACATGATACCTTCGGAGGGAGGTAAAAAGTAGTCTTAATGATTTTTTTTTTTTTTTTTCTGACAATCGAAAGCGGCAAACTCCCTAAGCCCCAGACTGACCAGTGCATCCGGATGAAATAGAAATGCTTCAGTGGACTGAAAGTGTTCTTTTAAATAGACTTCAGACGTTTACATGGGCAGTCCTGGGACACACTGGAATCCTCCTCCCACTCTACAGTTTGCTTCAACAAAAGTCTCACATTCTCTCTTAACAGAACTTTTAGGTGTTTCTCCTGCTGGAGTCCGTGGCTTGCAGTCACCTCTGTTGAACTGGCCAGTGGAAGGGACAAGAACGCCTGCTAGTTCTGTTTGAGCCCATCTCAAAAGCCAGGAGAGGGAAACTCGTTTTATAGACGAGTGTCTGTTCACGGGTGGGGGCTTCGGGGTGGTGTTGGAGTTGTGAGCTAGGAATGGCTTTAATGTTCAAGATTTAGAAATTTTGATAAAAGCTGGTTTTTCTCAGAAAAATAAAGAGAAAAGGAAGTAATGTTGAAATGACAGGGAAGCTGGGGCTGGCATGTTTCCCAATTTGCTGTCTACACTTCTGTCAGGAATTTTAACCTGAAATCCTCTGTTCTTGCGATGTAATAAACTGAGATATGTGCAAAGCATTCAGCAACTATGCATGCTAAACAGCGATGCACAATGTTCAGAGTCCGCAATAAAACTTTGAAACTGTTAGTTCTATTTTTCTCAACAATTGGGGTTTGTTTGATTGATTGTTTCCATTTCTTTGCCAGGTTTAGATTGAGATGGGAGGTTGGTGGGAAGAACCAGGGTAAGGGAGGGAAAACTTAGAGGAGAGGTGGGTTTTTTTTCTTTTTTGACATTCTGTTTTCTAGAGATCCACTAGTTACTTTTCCCTCTGTTCCAAGTGGCTACAGGAATTTTACTTCTCTGTCTTTATGCCCGAGCACCTCATTTTAGATCTCGAACGCTTCCTTTTTTTCTTGTTATTATTTTGGATATGATATGTTAAAGTGTTGGAAAGGCCAGAGAGAGGAAAAGAAAACTTGGGGAGGGTTAAAAAAGCAAATTTCCACATTTTAGGGATACCAGATGATCAGGACGTACGGTAATTATTTCCTGGGGACCCACAAGGCAATGATGAGACCGGTTCTGTCTCTCTCAGTTGTAAAGGGATTTTTAAATATTTACCTTGGGCTGGTTCTTTTCCATGTAATTCACTAGTGAGAAAGAGAACATAATTCTTATTCTGCCTTCACTCCTAGCCTGGTGTCTTCTATAAATGGTAAAGGTTGTTAAACAAACAATGTAACTGAAAGTAGAGGAATTTGAGAAATGGTTACTGGTTAGTGTTTTTGCCAACCTCAAATGAAAATGTCGACAGTTATAAAATGATGTCTTGGTGATGAATCTCTAGCTTCAGTGAATAAAACGGTTCGTGCGGGGAGAACTGGCTTATTCTACTTCGCAGTGGTTTCAAAGAGCTCGCTCTGTATAGTCTATTCAAGTCAGCAGAAAACGAAAACTGAACTGGTTTCCTGTGAAGTCGTTTAGCGTCCCCTTGGTTTCAAACGCACAAGCAGGTGTTAAACGCACAGCAAATTAAAAGGGATTGTATTATTATTTTTCTCCGAATGTTTTTATCCTAACATACACACACAACATATGTCCGGTGTGATATATGGATTCTAGACAACTGCGGAGACCGACGGGCCCAGGTACAAGATGCACAGCCCATCGCATTCAACAGACTGAAGCCTCCAAAGAAAACTTCGACCCAAAAGAAAAAAAAAAATCTCACCTGCGATGTATGGCTCATGGCTTGAGCGTCAGAAGCTGCTTCGAGCAGCCTGCGGCCAGGGGACAGGGGGACAGAGGATGCGCACCACCCCCGTCCTCGGCGGAGAGCCCTGTAGCCTGCCTGACTTACCCAGGGGTTTGATGGTGTTCTCCGTCGCCTCCTTCTCCTTGGAGCCGCCGCTCGACATGAGCGCGGCAATGGAGAAGGCGTTGGCCCGGGAGGAGAGCTGGGGCTTGGGTGACGCCGTGAACTCCATGGTCCCCACCACGCGGTCCTGGCCAGGGACGGTGTCGGCCGAACTGCCGTCCAGCTTCCCCAAGGGAGACAAAGACCCGAAACACAGCGCAAAGTTTCCGAGAGCAGTCACAGCGGGGCCAGAGACTCCAGAAGAGTCAGCTCCAACCTCTCAGAGCTCCGCGCTGGCCTCTATCACCCACCGCAGAGCCACGGAGCCGCAGGGACTGCGAAGCAGCCGGAGAGGAGAGGACCCGCCGGGCACTCCAGCGGGTGCGCACGCCCCGGGACGCTCGGCAGGACGACAGGCTGCACAATCCGAAGGCGGAAATGAGCATCAGCTGCACAAAGCCCTGGGGTCCCGGAGCATCCCGTCAGCGCCTTTCCTCTCTCGGGGGCTGGGGACAGCCGGGACGTCCCAGGCTGCGGTGGCCACCAGCCGAGCGCCGCTGCTGGGGCGCGGGCGTGCGGAGCGCGGCGCAGAGCCAGGAACACTGCGCCCCGGCGCTCGCTGCCCTGAGCCTTAATTTGCTGGCGGCGGCGATCCCGGCGACCCGCAGCCAGTCAGCGCCGCACCACGTCACCGCTTCCTGATTCCGCCGCCGGGGGCGGGGCCGCGGGCCGGGCGCTCAGGGCGCGCCTAAGGCGCGGCGCCCGCGTGGCCTGGCGCCCGGGCTGTACGGTAGCCCAGCGCAGGATCAGGGAAAGGGGTGCCCACTAGGCTGACGCAGCTGCCGTGGACACCCTCGCCTGGTCTCACAGTCCCGAGCGGGAGGGCGGTGCGCGCTGTCGGGAGAGGGTACATCATCGCGGCCTAACGCCCGAGATCCCGGCAGGGCCCACTTGGGAAACCTATGACCAGATCAGAGGAAGCTCGGGAGATCTTTTTCTTAACTGCGCTCAAAGTTCCAAAACCTGCGCCTCTGAGCCGGCGCCAACAGATCAGGTCCCTACTCCGGGCAGATCCTAGGGCTGGGACTCTCATTCGAGGTCCCAAATTTAATCTCTTTGACACTGGGGCTGAACAAATGCAGCCCTGAAAAGATAAGCTTAGAGAGAATTACGGGCATTTGGCAAGGGATGCTGCTCTCAGAAGCATGGCTTCTGCTCCTCACCAGTGCCCCTCTAGTCTGGGGCTCCCTTTCCCAACCCCAGAGGGACTCCGAACAATGGGGCGGCTGCGGAAGGAAAGGCGGAGGTCAGGGCGCGGAGCCCTAACGGTGACCACGCGACGCGCAGTGGGAGAGTGCGAACCTCACGGTAGCGCCCGGGCTAAGCAGACACCGACCGCTCTGGATTTGCAAAGGCGGTTGTGACCCGGACTTCCCACGGCCTTGTTGGAGGGCGTCCTGTTAGCCCTACTCGGCCTGAATATCTCAAATTCTCTGAATTCGCAGGGTAATCCGCTTCGATTGGAGCCATGTAAACTCAGGCTGACATACACACTCACATGTAAATATTTGTTCTCTTTTCCAGCCAGTCGGTCTGGCTATTAGAAGCCTCTTCGTGGGTCTTAAAATTAAAAAAAAATAAATTTTAAAACTCCAATTTTTCATTGCACCACCCACTACTCCTGAAACAAATTTATTGGGGGAAACTGCAAGTTAAAATAGCTGTCGCAAACGTTTGTGTGAACAAAATGATGACATCTGGAAGAGTCGCGACGTCAGCCTGTCTTGGTCATCGTGTGTCAATAGGTTTTAACAAGGTGCTGCAAGGTGACTAAAAAACGCGTTCTGATATGACTATCGAAGTTCAAAGTGTCGATTTATAAGTGTTTGGGGAAATTTGTAAAACCATAGGCTTTGGTGCTGGAAGGAATTTACGCTGTCGCCTAGCCCGTCTCCACGTGCGTTTGAGAGAGAAAAACAGGGCCCTGCGTGGCAGAGCGGCCATCTCCCGCCAGTCCACCCCAGCGGCTAGAAGCAGATGGAGGGCAGGACTTACACTCCGGGCCCCGACCCTGATCAGCCCCGAGCCCTGCAGCCACGGCTGGGCTGTTAGCTGAAGAGCCAAAGTAGAGTTAATACAGGCTGGCAAGCCGAGGGCTTTCAGATTAAACCGCAGGATGCTCTGAGGATCCGTTTCCATTCTTAAATTTTGTGCTGGTTTTGGATAACCCAAACTCAATCCAGATCCCTGTTTTGGTTATTAAAGCCCCCTATGCCAACCCATCTCTCCCCACACACAACACCTTCTCAATATACGTGACATTTCTTTGTATTGAGTGGAAGGCCCACAGTGGTTCCTTTCCTGAATCAAATGCTTAGAATTTGTCTAGAAAGTAAGATGTCTCTCAAGAAGTGGACATTTTCGGGGTTCGGGGGATGTCATTATTAGTCTAGACCTTGATATATGTATGCTTCAACAGGGTGTGGCAAATCTTGTTAGCTGAATTTAGTTTTCAAGCACTTGCCTCGAAATTATACTTCATTAAAAAAAAAAAAAACCTTGCGGTTGCTTTTCTACATAGAGGAAGACTGTGTCCTTTCTTAATTACCTTAATGATTCAAAGTGGAATCTGAATAATATTACAAGAGGAACATTTTCAGAAAAACTGATGGAGCAAGGGGAAAACTGAATTGCCACAAATTTTGTTTCCGCCTCCTTTCCCGGCCTTAGCCCAGCTCTGTCTCTTGTGTGCAGGAACCCCCGACTGTTCATCCTTCTACAGGTAAAATACTATACAAGAAAGGATGAGTGATCGGTAGGAGGCAGGCGGCAAACCAGAGCTATTGAAAAGGCCACTTTAAACAAAGCCGGGTGACCCATTTGGGGATCCCTAGGCTATGCATCTTGTTGGTGTTGAAACCGCGGCAGTAAAAACATATGCTGCAACATTATTATCGGGGGCACACTGTCCCTCCTCCTAGATTTATTGCCTTTGCAAATCAATATGATGCCATAAAAATGGGGAACCAGTCTGGAAAGAGAGGTGCTGTCAAAAGATGATTCAAAGCCTTCCCAAAGCGGAGAGTGTAGGAGGTGCCTTCGAAACCCCACTGATAGCGCAGGTTAATAGGTAAAACCACCCGGGGGCTGGAACAAAACAATCACATTAACACATCTCTCTAGGCCCTTCTCAGGCTGACCGCTGGCAGCGGAGGCAGCGGTAGTCTGAACGTTAACTTGAACACGCATTACCCCGGAGACCGAGAGGTTACCTAAACCTCTCAAAGCTTCAGTTTCTCCAGCTACGTTAGAATAGGGCCAATAATTTATGCCTACCTGGAAGATAACTGTTTGGATTAATGCCCTAATATGCATAAAATGCCTAACATATAACACAATCAACCCAAAGTAAGTAAAGCATAATATAGAGTTTTAATCATATTTAATTTCGAACACCAAATTCTCGATTGGAGAGACATGTCTCTCGGGTGCTCATATATAAAGTAATGGTTTTGGATTGTACACAGAGCATTGGAGCCACAGAAGGGTATTGGGCTGCTATTTACATCCCGTTTAAACTTTGGAGCCGAAGAATGTAAAATTTTGTTAGACATCTGAGTTTGGTCAAATGGAATTTGATTATATGGAGGACTGGAAGATGTCTCCTCATGTACGCCACTCTCTCAAATTCCCATTTGTAGCTCCCGGAACTCAGAAGACAGTCGACCCCAAAACTGCCCAGAAGGTAATCGGTTTCCGGCTTTTGGACAAGAGTCCCTCGCTTAACGAATGCTAACGAATGCTCCCTTTGCTGGGAGCTGCGGGACCAGGCCCCGCAGGTCTAACCAGTCCTCCGCAGGCGCAGTGGTCAGGAGCGGGGCCGAGACGGTGGGGCGGGTGCCAAGCGGAGGGCGCAGCCTGGCAGCCTCCGTGGGCGGAGGAAGAGAAGCGGAGAAGGGAGATCCTTTTCTTAGCACAAGGGCTTCTATCTACTCCCGAACATGGCCGGAGATTTCTGTCCGCAGCCACCCTCCAGCTCTTTCTGGTAGATGCTTTAAAAGCGACAGTAACTGGCTTCGGTGCCGTTGGATCCCTAAATTCGATTTATGGAACAGAAAGACTTCCGAAGCTTAGTGGGCAGAGGAGCTGCAACCCCTCCAAGGCCACTACGGCGCGTTCCCGGGGCTTGCCGAGAGCAGCGCGCGGCCCCGTGCCCGATGGGGAGCGAGCTGCGCGGCCTCGGATTTCACTGCGAGGCGGGAGGGGTGGACCGAGACCTTCCTCCGAAGATCCTTCGACGCACGCCCGGCAGGTTTTAGTTTCTCCAGCCAAAGTGGTCCCGGAGAATCGCTCCCTCGCAGCCTAGCTGCAAGAAGTGGCTGGGAACGTCCGGGCCTCGGGCCGACCCAGGAGGCCCGTAGACCAAAAGCTGGACCAGAGGCGCCCTTGCCCAAGCCTTGCTCTAAAGGCAAAGCAAAGATCCAGCTCCCCTGTGTGTCACCGAAGTTCCTGGGTGGGATGTGCGGGGCGCTTTCCGCCCGAGACCTCAGTCGCGCCCAGCTGTAGCGCAGACAAAGGGATGTCGTGTGGGCATAAGGCGGATCGCGCCTCTCTCCAAGGCCCGTGTGGTCAGGAGGTGAGGGGAAATGTCCTTCCGGCAGAAGCCCGCGGTGCTGCGACGTTAACCCGCCTGGCCTCGGGCTGGGGACGGCGGGCAGCCTAGGGCGCACGTAGTTTCAGCAGCCCCGCTACCTGGGCGCGGGACCCCAGGCCTCACCGTGTCCGCCCTGGGCCGCCTCTGGTACCCACTACGCGGCGCCTCCGGGCTTCGCAGCTTCCTCCCGGGGTCCCCACGCGCCAGGCCCCGAAGCACGCCCTCGGGGCTTCGACACCCTCACTCCTCCCCGCAGCCATTCGCTCCCCGCTCAACCCCCAAGAACTCGCAACCACCGGGACCGCCCTCAGAGCCCGGGCCTCCTGCCGGCAGAGGATGAATCAGCGCGTTAGTGTTGGGTGCAAAACTCGCAGCGTGATTAAGAACTGCAAAAGCAAAAGAAAAAATCTGAGCCTGCGGGCTTGGAAGCCAGACTTAGTCTCCTCGCACCCTGCACCCTCCTTTCTCCTCCTTCTCCTCCTCCATGCGTGCTCCCACCTTCCTTCTGCAACTCTCCTCTTGGCCGCCTTCCCTGTCCCAAAGGCCAGGCTGTTGACGTATGCTATTTATTTTTACATCATGATTTTTGTATGAATTTTGACTTCTAAAATTATTGCATTAAAATATTATTTTCTCGACTACTGAGTTGGTTAGCGTCTAAATTGTGGGCTCACCCCGGTCCTGGGCCTGTCAGGAAGGTTAAGAATTTCATCGAAAAAAAGGAACACTTTTACACTGTTGGTGGGAGTGTAAATTAGTTCAACCATTGTGGAAGACAGTGTGGCGATTCCTCAAGGCCTTAGAAATAGAAATTCCATTTGACCCAGCAATCCCATTACTGGGTATATATCCAAAAGACTATAAATCGTTCTACTATAAGGACACATGTACACGAATGTTCATTGCAGCACTGTTTACAATAGCAAAGACCTGGAATCAACCCAAATGCCCATTGATAATAGACTGGATTGGAAAAATGTGGCACATATACACCATGGAAT